GCGCTTGCGGCGACGGGGTGGGGGCCGCATCTCGGGGGGTGGGGCCCCTCTGCTTACCTGCACCCCTAGTGCAAGTCTCCCCTGCCTCCTACTGCACTCTCCGGGCTGTCTGGCTGTCTACACACACACCCACAGTGCATCTTTGGACGTATATACGTGTGGACACACATACATCCACCCAGCCCACGTTTTTATTATACCTATATATTCGCAAGCTTTTGTGAGCTGTGGCTTATTTTACCAGCTACTGTGAAAGGGTGGGTAAAAAGCTGAGTGTAAGGAGAGAAATTAGAATACAAAAGACAAGGTGGGGACAGAGGTGGGGGGAGAAGGGGGAGGGGAAGGGAAGGGGCCAGGTTTGGAGAGATGAGCAAACAACCGTCAGACCGGTAGGAGCAAAGGTAGACTCTCCCTCTGCCTGAAGAAGGAGGCTTGTGCCTGAAGACTTGCAAAGAACAACTTTTCCAGCTATTTAGTAGGGTAGATGTGATCTCTTTTATTAGATCAAAGAACCCTGTCTGTCCAGGCGCAAGGTTGTCACCTGCACTAAGCCAGGCCATGGGATAAGAATAGTTACTCCTGTATAGGCCTTGTAGTGGATACCTCTTGCTTCCAAGCAGGATGATTAAAAACAACTAATGACTCACTTTTTAAGGCAAAAGAGTTATCATGGGCTTGTATCTTACGGCTTCTTTTGAAAGGCTGCTGGTCTGTTCCCAAAGTGCAGGGGCAGCTGTTAAAATGTTAAGATGGGCAAAGACTGGTGGTGATGGTGGACAGGGTCTTGCACAGTTAAATGGTGTGTCCCTGAGCCTGACTAAACTGTTTGGGTCCAGTATTGGTGTGACACATGTATCTCAGTGTAGCAGAGTGTGTTGTATTACTTACCTGGAACTGCCCTTCTGCACTTGCACACCCACTGATCTCACTTCCTGTCTTCTCGCTTTGCACAGCTCCCTGGAGAGCAGGGCTGAACTACCTTGTTGTCCAGGATCTATGCAATTTCTTCTTTTTGAAGTTCAGTTGAAGTAGAGCATTTATTACACTGTGATAGAGTTCAAGTTCCACTTTCCATCATGTAAAAAAATCAGCAGTCTGTTGCAAATGTTTGTCAGAAACGCTGTAAAAGTATGCAGTTGACGATAAGTTTGAGGCTACTTACTGCTTCAGCTAGCATTGAAAAATCAGCAGCTTGAAAAATATTTTAAGACCATTGTTGAGTTAGAAGTAGATTTTCAGGAGACTTATCAACTGCAAGCAGCTATATCTAGAGTATTATTTTATCACCTGTGTAGCAAAGGGGATGTTAGGTAGAGCAAATGCAGTATGGCAAAGGGAGAGTACGGAGTTCTTTGCTCTGTGTGTGTGTTTGTTTTTACCTGTTTGAAACTCAGCAAATGAAAATTGTCATTATTCATTTGGTTCATTTTCATTTGGAAAATGGCTTTCCTTACAGGCTTCCCCCCTCCACCCCTCAAGCCTTTGATAGTGCTAATCCAGATTGAATGTTATTAGTAGATGTTAATTACATTTGAAACAAAGCCAGGGGGCCTGATTTCAACAGTTGTCCCATGTCAGGCTTACAGCCCAAGACACAACATGCTGTATAGATAAAAGCCTTTTCTTGTCATTAAGTTAGGTTTGCTTGTGGTGCATTCCCATCTACACTGGGAAATCATCAACTTTTACAAAATGATGTATATAGTGGACATATGAAAGCATGTCATCTTTACATCTTCTGTTTACATAGGACTGAAGATAGTTGGCTTAAGGTAGCTGTTGGACATAATTTTATGGGCAAATCTGGTTGAAACTGGTGGTTCTTATGGTATGAACCTTATATGCTACAGTTCCAACTTAATTGGAGGACTTATAGCAAAACTCTGACTCTGTTGAAGCACCACGCTAATACCTAGGACATGCAGTTTGCCCCCATGACAATACTGTCCTATGCAGTGGGCTGTAGGAAAGGCAATGATGCCCTAGGGACTTGGAGCCTGAATCCCAAAAAACAGACATGGTCTGTGTAACCTTAGTCGCATCGCAAGTATTTTTCATGAGAAAAGTGAGGTTAAAAAAACATGGTGGCATAACTAATGCA